AGCGCCCTTGATGCGCACTTCTGTCGAGCCCGCACTGAGGCGAGCTCCGCGGCAGACTTCTACTCGACAGTCAAAGCGGCATTACATCACTAAAGTGTGGACTCAGAGGAAGACCGCAAGGGTTTAGGGTGCGATTTGGGACAGGGCCTAGGTTTTATCATTATTATCGCTGGAAGACTAATTCTTATCGTGGGGAGAATTTTTGCCGGTATATCGCAAACGGTAAGATATCGCCCATCCCTACTACAGTTATTGTTAATACTCAAAAATCATAATAAATTAATATGGGATCTCCTTCAAACAGTGCTTTTCGAAATCATTAATTTAGTTTTTTGATGAACGTTGTAAAATAGCAGTAAAAATTACTGTAGTAACTAAGATGCGCATGTAACACTTTTTTGTGATATTATGGTTTGCTTGTGACTAACTGCATAACAAATTCTATTATTTATACTAAATTTGGTCATTTATTTATTTATTAGACTATTTTCATCCATAGCTTAACAGTATCTACTTAAGTAACTCATTGATGTTTAATGGCACTCTTAGTCCTGGTTCACTAGACACTGTCCTATGCATTTAACCCCATTTTCCCCTTCATTTCTTCTGCCATTATCATCTGTCCTCTGACTTTGCTGCGGTGAGCAGAAACGTCACCTCTGGCCCCAGGTTTGATGCTTGCTTTGTTGCTCTGTCTTTTGCATTCAGCTGTTTCACTCCAGAATTGTAATTTAATTGCCTTGAGCAACTGGGATCTATCCACAGTCTGTAATTATAGCACAAGACAGGATGTTTGTGGTAGAACAGCATGCGTAACAATAGTCCCATACATAATGTTAGTAAAACATTTGTTTTGTGTATAAGGGTTCACCATAATGAGCTTTCAACGACTATTTAAATTCAGAATTAGTGATCATTTATGATGGAAAACAACTAGAGAACTTTTAATACTAGTATTATACTAAATGTATACATAGTATGTCTTATCTACAGTCTTTTTGTCATATGTAAATGGAACTTCACACCAAAGGAATGAGTTGTTGTTTTTTATGTCCCCCTTAGACAATCTATTTTTAATGTGGAATAAGACTATGTAAACAGAGCTCTCTGGCCTTCTACTGCAAGAGCAGGGTGAAACTTTACACCTGGTTTAAGTGTTACAGCCAAATGCTCCACCGAATCTATTGAACAAAGAACGAGACGATTCTAGTAGGGGTCAAAGAAACATTTTTTGACACATGTTTGGCTGTTGAGTTGACTGACCCCAAGTGACTCAATGTGACAAAACTAGAACAATCCCATTATAATCAGTGTTTTTACGTGTTTGCTGAACTGAACCTTTTCTCGTTGCCTGAAACAGGTGGTTTCATCAAGGTTCAAATCCACACAACGGCTCGCAGGACTGGCTGTTCTCCAATGGCTACTGGGACCGTGATTATTCCCAATTACCAGACATCTACTGACCTACAGGAACCTATAAATTGTATAGTCAAGACTACCCAAAATGTAACTATAAAACTGTGCACCCTGTGCTGGTTGGCCAGGTGAACATTTCAAATATCATAAATAATACACTGTTTCAAGAGAGAACTTTAATTTAAGCTTACTGAATTTAGTTTTACACTGTTTCATATTTAAATGCATATGTAATAACCAAGGGTTTTAGGAACTACAGATTGTGACATATAAAGATGATAATCACAAGTTGGGCTTGATATAGTAATATCAGTGTACTGTAATAGCAATAATGGTTCTGTTTTAGTCTTATGAAAAATGTCTTATGAATTTATTTATTTTTTAATCTGTTAACAATTGTAGATTTTGGGTGTTCCCCAAGGCTCAAGTCTGAGTCTGTTTTGTTTTCGGTTCATTGGCTTAAAAATGAATTTGGCGTTTCTTGAGTTGGAACATTCCCACTGTGTGGAATGTGGTATAAAACAATTGGTTGTGAAAAGGACTAAAATTCAGAGTTTCTATTCTCCACGTACAATACAGTATTAGGACAGTGTGTCTATTTCTGCTGCTCTTTCTGTTGTGATGTTGAATTTTATTTAGAGAGATGCCTCTGTGGTGTTACTAATATATTGACTAATGTCTTTTGTTATATTATAATATAACAATCTTATTTTAATTATGTATTTATCATGAGTTAGTTATTCATCTATTTTTACATTTTTAAAGTATAAAGGTGGTCAGAAACATGAAGCGGTACTGACCACTTGATGCAGTCTACTCTTAACCCCATTATCAGTTTATTTTCTGTGTGTGTTACATGTGTGTGTGTGTGTGTGTATATTTTCTTATCAAAACAAAAGTGCCTACAGATGATGAGCAGAATAATTCTGTGCATAAAAGGCATTAAATATTGTATTTAGATCTACATCTAAAAAATAAAAACCTAAAAAAAAGTGTATGAGCATTTAATACAATATATGCGCTTACAACCGTAACGTTAAGCTGAATGAGTTACCACAGCACGACAAAAACGTAAAACAGCAGTGCAGAATGAAAACATGATTGTCGTATTTAAATGTTTATCCTTCTGAATATAAAGGTTTTACATTTAAATGGAAATAAATCACCTTTACCTGCAGAGTAGTTAAACTGCACACACAATAAAGTGCCACTTCGTTGCGGTCAAATGACAGACATTTGCAAGTTTTTTTTTCCACTTCATCCAGCGCTCTTCTTGTTTTAAATCTCACAAAATATCCCATTACTAATTCGGTGTGAGAAATGATTTAGCGATTGTGTAAACTGTCATAATTGGACCGACCATCGGCTTGCCACTGGTGCTCCGGCGGAGGCGTGCCACCCAAAAAACACTGGCAAACATCAGCATTTTTAGATTGGTCGGCTTGACGACGGTGGTCCGACCGTGCCAAGCCTCTGAATTTGTGCCGCCCAAAAAACGCTGGCAGACCGTCATTGTTGGCTAGGAATGAATCAAACTGAATCGCAAAGAGTTTTAGACCATTTTGCAAACCTGTTGAACCATTAGATCAAAAGAGTGATTGATTCATGAATCTGGCATTACAAAATCTTCTAAACAGCTGAGAGCAAACATGCAAGGACTTAACTGATGAAATATTATCAGAAATATTCTCAGCTTGATATATGGTAATCCACGTAAGGATTAATCAATAATATTTTACTGAGATGCACAACTAAAAAAGGTCTAGTGACGCCCCTGGTTCTTTTGTTAAAATATGATTACCATCGTTTTTTATTCCATTTTATCATCGCCATTTTCTATTCAAATATTAAAAAATAAATAAATTTTTGTCTATTCTAAATCAAATGGGGTGGATATGGAAGGCCGCTTCTGCCACTGAAAAAAAAAAAAAAAAAAGGCAATTGCTTGTTTATATCTCAAAATTCAATCCATCTGTTTTTAACGTGTTGGTAAGGTCACCAGAAAAGTTCACTAATAGCTGGGGGGGGGGATTTCAGATAATCTCACGTACAATGTTTAATGGCAAGTTTCGTTATTTTATTATTGAAATTTCCTAATTCTATTGTCCTCACAAGGTATAAATACCCTGCACATCCAATATTGACACGTTTCACAGTGAAGACATGTTTTGAGCATCTGGAGTTACTGACAGAGAGACCAGAGGGAATCACGTACAGTAGTGAATAAAGCCCAAAGGTGGGACAGACGTTACAGCTACGGGCCGAGAAAAGAAGAAGGTGCAAGTTTCACAACAATTTCACAATATATACACCAACTCGAATCAATTCAAGTTATTCAGAGGTGACATTATCAAAAACAGATACTGATGTGCTGTTAAAAGTTTATAAACGATATGCCTGGGCCAAAAATATTACAGAACATCTGGCACAAAAAAAACAAATACAACTTACGGCTCGTCAAAAACAAGGTCCAAAATGAAATGACCTCCTCTGGCCCAGAGGAAGACCAGTAGGTAGTTGTGCATGGTTTTCACTTCAGAAAATATCTGCTGACCAGCAGAGGATATGAGAATGAAAGTTACGGCAAAGTTAAGCTGCTGTTCTCGAACTTAATACACAGAAAAGCAGATTTGATGAAATATGTTCTATATCCCACGTACATAAGGGTTACAAAGGGAACACATGGTTTAGTGTTAAAATGAAACTTTGCAATACATACAATGAAAACAGCCAACCTTGAATGCAATGCGTTTTAACCTGCAAAAGCGTCTTCAAGTAGACTAATGACAGACCGATATATCAGACTGATTCAACAACCAATATCTGACCATTTTGGCTGAATAAAAAAGCAGCACTTTTTATTTAGAAAGAAAGAAAGACATACAAATATTAGATTTTATAGAATTTTTGTATTTTTAATTTATGGAGCGAAGTTCAGTAATCCTATAAGTGATTTTCTATCTATCGATATACACACATAAAATGTCATATTGTTTTACTGAAAATTACATATAATATATAATAATAATAATAATAAAATGTATAACTAATAAATAATAATTCGTATAAATAATAATATATAATTACTAAATAATTATTATTATTATACATTTATTTAAAAATATTAACATTTATTTATATGATTTAAAAATATATCATTAATACCACTGGTTCCAAATTCAGGTCAATTTAATTTTGTAGTTATTATGAGTTTATATTAAAATAAAACGTAAACTTAATAATTACAATTTTAAAACAATTATGTGTATTATGTGTGTGAATTTTCCATCGATCTATCTATCAATATGCAAAATGTAATATTTTTACTGAAAATTATATATAATTAATAAATATGTATTAATTATTGATATGTAATTTTCTTTTTAAAATATTAACATTTATTTTAAAAATATATTAACATTAAAATAAAACGTAAAATATATATATATATATAAATAAAATAAAGAAAAATACATATAATTAAAAAAATGATATAGTTACACTTTATTTTAAAGTGTCCTTGTTACAGAGTAATTAAGTAATGAGTAATATTAATTAACACGGTTGCTTAAAGTCAAGGTTTGGTTTAGGGTTAGTTGCATATAATTAAGCAGAATTTACTCTAATTATTATAGAAAGTAACAAGGACGCTGTAAAATAAAGTGTTACTGAATCATAAATAATTAACTATAATAATTGTTTTAAGTAAAAATACATTTTAATATCATTAACTGAACACAGATTTTATGCAAATTGGACTAATGTAATTAAACATTTATTTCAGTGAAATCATAGCATGGCCATTTCGGTCTCATATCGGTCGGCCATTACACCAGACGCATACAAACTTGATTTGACATACAGGTAGTTATTGGTAAGTTGGATACTACTATTTCTTGGAGATAAAGGGTTACACAATATACATTTCATTTTTATGTATTAATGTTATCTAATGTAGAGTTCTATCCCATGCTAATGTGTTTTGTATGATAGCGCAAGCTCTGGGAAAGGATCTAGCCAGTTGGTCTACTCTTGTGTTTCTTTGTGAGAGTTATGTTTTCCTGCACTTCTGCAGATCAATCCTGAACACACAAAATCTGTGGATCTGCACTATGACGTGGGTGTAAATGTGATCATGAAAATGAGATTAGATCACTGGGACCAACAGCTACATGAAGAGTGAACCTTTTCACTACTAGGCTGAAAAATATTGGCAAACTCGTCCTCTGTCACCTGAAATCCGCCGACTTTCAGTTTCTCCCTCCAGAAAAGCTGGATTACTTCAAATGGCTTTCGTTTCAAAAAGTGCTGGACAGGAGCTCTTCTGAGGTGGGACGGACGGGTCAGTGAGGGACCACTTCCTTTAGGGAGGCGAGGGCAGAATGGATGCGGACGTGCAGCCTGTTCTCGAAGTCGTACCCCGCGTAGTTCTCCTGCAAGCAAAGCTAGTCACCACCTGAACGCAATTTACTGACGTATTCAAGATACCAATCGCTGATGTCTTACAGTCTTACCTTGGCCTGAAGCAGCAATGACCTTCCTTTACTCAGGGTCTTAGAAAGGGAAAAAAAATGAAATTAATTTAAAAGATTAAAGAAAGAAAGAAAGAAAGAAAGAAATCAAGTATATGTTAAAAAAATAGTAAAAAAAAAAAAAAAAAATTCCAATAAATAGATTTAATAAATACAATGCACAATATCATTCTCTATTTATCTTAATATAATTCCACAACATTTTAAAATATTTTAAATGATATATTATGTAAATTATATATAAATATATAAACTAAAACCTGAACTCCTAATATCTGTAACTGAAAATAATACTTATTTTAAAAATGATCACAAATTAATGAATTATCAAAAAGACTGTATAAATAAATAATATGGTTTATAAATTCACTGTATTTACATACACATAAATTAAGTAATTATACGTTTATATATTTAAGCTAAAACAAACTCAGAACTAATTTAAAAACAAATTGTGTTATATATATATATATATATATATATATATATATATACTGAAAATTATATATAATTAATAAATATGTATTAATTATTGATATGTAATTTTCTTTTTAAAATATTAACATTTATTTTAAAAATATATTAACATTAAAATAAAACGTAAACTCAAACTTTTAATAATTACAATTTTAAAACAATTATGTGTATTATGTATTATAATATATATAATATTCATAAATTATAGTTATTATGAGTTTATATTAAAATAAAACGTAAACTTAATAATTACAATTTTAAAACAATTATGTGTATTATGTATTATAATATATATAATATTCATAAATTATAGTTATTATGAGTTTATATTAAAATAAAACGTAAACTCTTAAATTCTTAATAATTACAATTTTAAAACAATTATGTGTATTATTATGTGTATTATTATTTATACACACACACAGATATAATATATATCATATTTATAATTCTAGTTTATGTTTAGTTTATATATATATTTTAATTTATATTTAAAGTTTACATAGAAACAATCTCATAACTATTATTTAAAAAATACTAAATTAGAAAATACTACATAATAAACGTTCATATTATTAATTATGTTATTATATAAATAATACTATACATATAATTCACTATTTGTATATTATAAATTACAATACACAATATTAAGTGTAATACAAAAAAATATGTTTATACTACAAACACAAATATTCAATATCAATCTCCATTTAATTTAATAAAATTAGAGAGAATATATAAGCACCACACTTTGAGATTCATGTGGCGTTGTTGTGATTATTATTATTATTAATAATAATAACAACAACAATAATAATACCACTGGCTCCAAAATAAATGTTACATAATTTATGGAGCAAAGTTTGGTAATTCTATATGTTAATCATTGCAATGGTATTTTCAGAATAAATTGTATAATACACTTCAATGCAAATGTTTCTAAGGCCGCTTTTACACTGCCTTTCCGATATACTCAGATCGGTTTCAGGCCTCATTCATATGTGGAAATAAATCTGATATGAATGTAAGCGGACAGATCAGATATTCCCGTCAATGCCAGTTGGATGACAAATGGTTTTGAAACATCTCGCAGTACAGATATATCTATTACAAATGAAACCTCTCCAGTTGACTAGCAGAGTATTCATTTTGTTCGTTTGTGTTAAATAAGAGGCGATCTGACGCTGAAATGTGTTACTTTTAAAATCATGCCGAGTGCTCGTTGCCGCTGTTATCAGCGCTTCGATCTATCGCTAACTGTTGTGGAGACTCGATTCATTCGGGTGAAATCTCATCTGCTTTTCAATACAAAGTATGCTTTATTAATAGTGTGTGCAGAGTTGGGTCTTTTAATATCACTGTCTAATGCATTGAGCCACGTCAAGTTAAGCCTGTGTAGTGTAAATGCATACTTTTAAAAGAACGTGTAAGCAGGTCAAAAAATCCGATTTGGGCATCCAGATCTGGTGTAAATGCAGCCTAAAAGACTGTTTGAACTGAACGTAAAGAGTTGGGATTCAAATGGAGTCGACTGGAAGCTGATGAATGCATAAATATTTCAATACAGTGCCTTCGCATTGAGAATAAAGGGATTTGGAATGCGCTTCACCTCCGGTTTAGCCAGTAACACGCAGCCCAGCTCATAGCAGGAATAGGGCTGCACATAGCTGTTATTCAGACGGCCGTATTCATCCTGCGCTGCCAGCTGGAACGACTGTGAACACAATCGCACAGAATCAGTATTAAACACAGTATCTGAGAGGATAAACAAGATAAAATTGCCAACAAGTGCTGCATTTTGTAGCATTTATGCTCTGAAATCTATTTGTTAAATGTACTTAGAAACTATTATGCAACATGTTCCACCGTTACTGTACCTTTAAGATATGTATAGGTAATTGACTTTAGTTTGCATACATAATGCGTTACAACAAACTTGATGAGACTAAACAAACCTGAACAGCGTCTTTAATATTCCCAAGACATTTCTGAATAGCACCAAGCAGCAGGTGTTTTAGGCCCAGGCTCGACTGCTCATCCAGCCCCTGTAGCACTGAATACAGCATCAAGATCAGGGTCATCATGAGGGAAAAGAGGCGCTCAGAGCTGACTGACAGGACGCTTTTCATCCAGGATGCTCTTACCTTGGTTCATAAGCTGGAGTTTGGAGGAAGAGCAGTTTGGAAGAGCTTTCCATAAGTATAGCACCTCCACAACACCCAGAATGCACAGCTCTCGCGTAAGGGAGACTTTCCTCAGCCTCTCTGCCTAGTGACACAAACAAAGCAGAAGAAAATGTATGATACATTTAAAAATAAAAATAATAATCAAATAAATAAACAGGTTTAGAAATGTAATATATTTACATTATTAATATAATCAAAATTACAAATACAAATTTCTCTGCAATTCGTAGTTATGTACATATAAAATAAAACTTTTTTTATCATTAATATAAAATTATTAATAATTTTTGTATTATGAATTCTAATAACCATAAATGTATGTATGGTATGTATGATATATATATATATATATATATTATATTTTTTATAATACTATTTTGTATTATAAATTTTAAAATACAAATTTATATATAATCAATTATATATTAAAATACACACAAATAGTTTATACATTCATTATATTACAATAACTATAGTTAGAGGAGTTAAAATCATCGCGAAACAAACTTGAACACAATACTACAAGTGTAAAAAAAAATTTAATTAATTAATTTATTTATTAATACTAATATAATAGATAAATAAATAAAAATGGTATGGAAATTCAAAATTTCCATAAGCATAATTATTCATAAAAAGTAATTATTTGTATATTATAACTACAAATTTCTATGTATATATTATAGAAATCATGAGTTTAATTTAAAATGTGAAATCATAACTGCGAAAAATTAATTATTAGCTAACTCACTCTTTTCAGTGCAAACTGCTCAATCTGATTGTTCTTGCGTTTAAAAAGCTTCTGGACATCTTGGAAAACAGCTTTGGCTCCCTCTAGATCCCCAGAAGCCCCCTGACATACTTTGGGTTGAGATGTAAAAGGTTTTATTAAAACAGTAATTTTACATTTGACAAAGAGTTTGACAGAGAACATAACCGGACCTCCAGTGAGGTAAGCATAGTAACACTGTGACCATCGGGATTCATTCTTCAGCCGCTCAAACGACCTGTAAGCATCTTCAAAGTTCATCTCTATCATGCTGCACCAGCCTGCAAATCCAGAGCAAATGAAACACTGAATTATAAATTGGTTGGAAAGTTTGTGCATACGAGTAACTGCATACGTTGCTCTAAATGCCAGGCCAAACTTCAACCAAATTGGACAAAAATATTTGATAAAAGACTGTACTACTGCTGAAAAGTAAGACGAGTTCAGATCTGTACCAATTTCATAGAGGCACACGTGTTGGATTTCTCTTTGGTCAGAGGCAAATTCCAGAGCATCCTGAAATGACGCCAGCGCACTGTTGATTTGGCACTGAAAAAGAAAAAGAAAAATCCATTATATATATGAAAAATTAGATACAGATATTCAATTTTTATTTGTATTTTCTGTTATTTATAATATACAAACAATTTATATGAATTCTTATTTATGCTTATGTCAAATATTACATTTATAAACACTTTTATTCATTTATTACATATTGTCTAATAGTTTATTCATTTTTTACATTTTACATATATTTATATTAGTATTTTCTAATAATCATTATTAGTTCACATTTTAGTTCATATATAAACTATTACATATACATTATAATAAAAAAAAATTGTATACATGTATAAAATACAATATAATAAATATTAGTTATATTGCAACAAATATTGTTTATATTACTGTAATATTTCATTATAACACTATAATAAAAATGTTAATTCTATGAGTGTGTGTGTGTATATATATACACATATAAAACAAACAAATTATAATAAATATTGCAATAAATATTGTTTAGAATATATTGTAACATTTGAGTAAAACAGTGTTTATATATATTTTTAAATAATTAATTAATAATTATAATAATTTGATTTCGTCCCCCCCCCCCTTGTTCCTGAGCCCCAATTTAAGTCGGGACACATGAAACACTGTCATGCTGTATTAGAAGGACATTTGTTTTTCTCTAGTGTAATGTAAATCTCACATTGTAGTCAGTGTATAATTTGTATTGGAGATGAGTGATATTAATGGTTGGCTTTGGATGCCTTCCATTGCATCTAACACACCCACTACATGAAGAAAGTCATTGTGGTGGTTGCATAGTAATTAAATATCAGTGAAGCATAAACCGCACTATTATTTTAATGATTTAATCATGGCAGTTGATTATCAAGCACCAAGCATCTGCTCTGGTTTCATGTCACTGTCGATGTGATACCGTAATGTGGAATCCCTGCATACCCACCTCTAATCTCTGCACCCGTCCCTTAAAGAAGATGAAGAGAGAGGAGTTTGGGTAAACCATCGCCTTCTTCTGCAGAATGGCTTTGGCTTCCAGGAGCCCAGCTTGCGAGTCAGAGCCGTCCAGAGCAAAGAAGGGCTGCACCACGGTGTGGTACCACAAAAGAGCCAAACTGAGAGAGAAAACGAGAAAAAAGAATTCCCCGATCCATTTAAAAACACAGTTTGGATGTTTATTAACTGTGTTTGGTTATATATTTGAATATATTTGCTTGTGTACAAAGTGCTACAGCAACACCGATTAGAAAAAAGCAGCATCTATTCAACTGAAGAACAAATTGGGAGGGTTTTGCCCCGGGCTGGATTAAGTGTGCTTAAATTCATCTCTATTATTAGAGCTGCTGCGCAATCTGTCAGCCTCTGGCAATCAACTACCGAGAACAATGTGTCTAAAGAGAGCTGAAAGAGCGGTTACGAACTATGCAGTTAAAAAAATTACATTAAAAAAAATCTTAGAAATGATCACAATTAACTAGATATTTACATTTTATGAAGGAAATATGATGTTTGACTGCACTAAATTCGCTATAATGCTAGAGTGTTCTGGTTGGTTGCTAGACTGTTGCGAAATGTATACTAAGGTGTTATCTTGCTGTCATAATGCTAGGGTGCTGTGGATGGTTTCCAGGGCATTGCTATGTGGTAGTTAGATTGTTCAGGTGGTTGCTAAGCTGTTGCTAGGATGCTTTGGGTGGTTGCTGCGCTCTTGTGGATGGTCTCCAGGGCATTGCTATGTGGTACTAGATTGTTTGGCTCTTGCTAGAATGTCCTGGGTGGTTGCTAGGCTGTTGATAAGGTGTTATGGATGGTCTCGTTGCCAATAATGCTAGGGTGTTGTGGATGGTTGCTAAATTGTTCTGGGTGGTTGCCAGACCGTTGCTAGGATATTGTGGGTGGTTGTTAGGCTCTTGCTAGGTGGTTGATAAGGTGTTATGGATGGTCTCGCTGCCTTAATGATTGGGTCTTGTGGATGGTTACTAGGACGTTGCTATGTAGCTGCTGTTGATAAGGTGTTATGGATGGTCTTGCTGCAAATAATGCTAGGGTGTTATGGATGGTTGCCAGGATGTTGCTATGTGGTTGCTAGATTGTTACGGGTGGTTGCTAGGCTGTTGCTAGGATGTTTTTGGTGGTTGCTGAAGTGTTATGGATGGTTGCTCCAAGATAGACCTCTCCAAATATGGCTCAAATTCCATCTTCAACATAATTATACTTTTTTTTGGCCATTTTAAAAGTCTAATGATCAGGGGTTAGTCTAAATCAGCTTTAGTCTAAACCAACTTGACAGCTGGACAGTTTTGCATATGAAAAATTCCCGCTCACCACGGGATTCAAATCAACCGTGTGATTTAAAGTCTGTAGCTCTACTGACTGAGCTAGCTGAGCAAAATTCACATTTTCTCATAATATTCTTTATGACGTTTAATAGTAACGGATGAGTCTGTGGTAGCATTTGCTTGCACATGCCATTGCTCACATGACCTTTCCATCTAATGCCCTTTATCTCTAATTGAGACCTTTCAGATGCCATCAATTATGTAACCCCAGTGTGAAACCAACAGCATGTGCTCGCACGCGAATTCACGTCACTGCACAGTATATCAGGAGTCAGGGATTTTCTTCTGGTGTATGAGAGCTAAAAATTTATGCAAATGCTCATAATTAAGTATACACTAATGAGAGAATCATGTCAAAGGCTGGATTGACATTGCTAAGGTGCAAAAAAAAAAAAAAACATTATCTTACGTGGCAAGTGGCGCCTTCATATCTTTGCTCTCGCTGGCGTATACTAAGGAGGAGAGACCTTGGTGACGGTCTCCAGGGAAGCCCAGCAGGTTGACGATCTTGAGCAGGTGTGGAGGCACCATCGAAATGCACAAGTGAAAGAGCCCATAGCCGAAGCTGACAGAACCCTTCAGACGGTCCAGAACCTCTTCTGTTACCCGGCCGCCGCTCTCAGCTGAGGTGTTGTGATTGTCCTGATCGGAGGCCAGCGCCCCCTGCTGGTCGGAGGAGCGTCGGCGGCAGGCTTCCTGCAGTTGGCTGATGTCGCTGTAGCATTTGTTGTACATTTTCCAGGCCTTGCGGAGGATCCAGCCTCCTTTGATGTATGCTGAGGGGTGATGGGTCATATAATGACATGAAAATGTTTATGAAATGTTTTAAAATGGAAATTTAAAAAAAAAATCTTAATTTTCTTAATATTAATTTTCAAATAAAAATATAAACATTTAAGAAATTCAAATATACAATAAAAATAAAAACAAAAAAAGTAAAAGCATGATTGAGTCTTTCAATAGTTTTGGTGACAAGCTGAATCGTTTTAATAATTTTACATTTGTGTATGCATTAACTAATTAAAATAATAATACAAATAAAAATAACAATTTTTTTCTTTATATTCATTTTCAAATAAAAATATAAAATTACAGAAATTCAGTTATACACAAAAATGAAAAACAAATAAAAACAAAAATAACTGCATGATTGTGCCTTTTATTATATTTGATGAGAAGCGGAATCGTTTTTAATAATCCAAATTTGTGTATACCTACGGTAATAAAAAAGTAAATAAAAATAATCATAGTTTTCATCATATTAATTACTATTAATACTAATATCAATTATATTATTAATTAATAATTTAAAAAGATATATATAAATTAAAGAAATTCAATAATATAAATAAAATAAAATAAAATATATAATAATAATAATGATAAAATCAAAAAAATGACATTGCTTAATATTCTGGGAAAAAAATGGAATAAAGTAAACATGACATTACACCTGCACTTCTATACAATATTTCAAGTTTGTTTACTCCCCCTCAACACAGTGGCATTCGGATTACGTTCAAAGCTGTTTTTTTCCACGATTCAGCATTTTTGGAGTGTAAACATGTGGAATCCACCTGAGAGTTCCTGTTTGACGAACGACAGCACAGCGAGATAAACCTGGCAGTCAGCCACGATGATCTGTCTCTGAAGACGGTCCACAATCTCCACTCCCGATCTCTGCGAGTCCATCTGTCGCGAAGTTAAAAACCAAGATGTTAAAGGGGTCATATGATGCTTTTTTAAAGATCATTATTTTGTGTATTTGGTGTAACAGAATATGTTGACATGCTTTAATGTTCAAAAAACACATTATTTTTCAAATACTGTACATACTGTACATTCCTCTATGCCCCGCCTCTCTCAAACGCTTCGTTTTCTACAAAGCCCCCTCCTT